GGGTTTTCCTCAATTAAAACTGGACATCTGGAAATCCCTTTTCAAAACTGGAGTGAACTTCCATGAGGTCAGCAGCTTTGTCTTGTTCACAGCTCTATACCAGAACAAGAACAGCACTTGGGACATAATAAATAACTGAATCAATATCTAGGGATGAATCGATGCTTGGAGTCATAAAAGTCTCCAAGAATCCTTACAGAGCAGAAGAAAACAGAAGTCCGAAAATGACTGATAATGGACTTTCCAATAATTGTGTGAATAGGGCTCAAACTGGTTCTCTTAAAATTTGAGGAATAGTTGGGGGAGTGTGCAGTTCTGTGGTAGAGTGTGTGCTTAGCATGCACAGGGTCCTGGGTTCAATCCCCAGTACCTCTGTTAAAAAAATAATAAAATATAAAAATAAATAAATAAACCTAATTCTGCCACACACACACAAAAAAAGAAATTTGAAAAATTTGAAAAACATTGTTGATTTTTTTTTAAATTTTGAGAAATAGGGGGGAAAAGTAACATTATTGGCATCCAAATGGGTAGATCAATACATTCCTGTTATATTAATCACTGAAAGCATTTAAATAAAGCCTGAATAGAGATGTTGTACAGGTATAATGGTCCTATTTGTGAGCCAATACTAGGAAGCTCTACCTTGCACAGGAAAGTTGTTAAGTATAATCATAAGATACACTGTCCATCTAGAAGAAATTCCTGTCTGAACAAAGCATCAAGAATATGTGTGTTCCTCTTGAGCAACTGCTTTTAGTACAGATATTGTTAACTAGGTAGCGTGTATCCTAGGAAAGTTAGAAGCCAATAAGAGTGTATGTCATCTCACAATGCACTTTAAATCTAATTCCTAGCTTTGTTTTATGTCAACGACTGACTCTTCTCTCATAAATGTATAAAAGCATCACGACTTGCCTGTGCCCTGTGGAGATGCCTTAAATCCTTCCTACAGAAAGGGTGGTTGTAAATACATGGCCAATTGGATTTCTCTTCTTGCAGGGGAGGTAAGTCCACATGGTCTTTATCCCTAAATAATCAGATCAATGCCTGGTAAGTCAAGGGGCATGTCCAGGCCCAGAGGAGATCCTGCCCACCACTTCTGCACCTGTCAGAACCTCCCAGGAACTCAGTCATGTGTCAGATACACCTATGCTGCCTCACAGCCACAGCATCACATCAGTCAGGACTGCCAAGAAGTTCTAGGACTTAATCGACAACTTTACACAACCAGAGGAGTGGCAAACTCCACTCATGCCCAGACAAGGCCTCAAAGAATAAGTCAAATCTTTTTTTTTTTTTTTAATTTCTGGGGTTAGAAGCATCTCTCTTTTTTTTTTATTTTTTTTTTGTAGTTATCACATACAAATGTCTCTGTATTACACATCACATTCACTTTTCTGACCACCTACTTTGTGTTAAAACAATAAGACAATGTTGAAGAGCCTTAAAGACAATAGAGTGTGAGCCCTCCTCATGAGGGAAGGCAGCTGGGACCTTGGAAATTAGACAGGCTTTGGTGTGAGTCTTGGCTTTGCCACTTATTCGCTGTGACTACAGCCAAGTCAGTTAACTCTCTGAGCCTCCATTTTCTCATTTGTAAAGTAGGAACAGTGAAGAAGACAATGATAATGATGCTGTCTCATCTCAGGACTGTTGATGGACAAAGAATCTGGCAGTGTCTGACACAAATTATGACTTAATAAATGTTACCTTCTCTCCATTTCACCTCCCTCTCGTCAAAGATCTTTAAATCAGTAAGTGAGTGAGAACACTCTATAAAGCTAATTACTTTAGCAAAAGAAAAACAGTAACAATGGCCAATATTTATTGAGCAATTACTATGTGCCAGGTGCTTTACACACATTATCTCATCTGCCTCACCACTCCTTCAAGGTGCCAGTGTTGTCCATATTTTGTAAATGAGGGTGCCAAGGCTCAAATATGTTAGGAAATCTATCCAAGTAAGTGGCAGAGTTGGGATTTGAGTCCACCTAGCCTGACTCCAGAAGACATGCTTTTAACCACCAGGAAAACACTGGTTTGAATATATATATATACAAAATTTTAATGGAAGAAAAAAAGAGTAATTTATTTCAACTGGAGGATGGTGGCCAGGGAAGCCTTTGGAAAGAAGGAGATGTCAGATTGGGCCTTGGAGGAAGAGCAAGATTTCATTTTGACAGAGGTGGAATGGAAAAGGGATTACAAAAAGGAAGACTATTCCAGGCTGAGAAATTGGCACCAAAAAAAAAAAATGGAGGCATAAAAGATATGATGTGCTGGGAAACAGTGAGAAATTGGCATGGATAGACATCCCTCAGATCATGGGTACCTCATGGTATAAACCAGTCATGGTAATCCTACTCCCATTTGCCAGAGAGAAGGATGGAGAAGGAGGAAGGATTATAAAAGCAGGTTGGGGCCAAACGTCACGCCTAAAATTTCTTCCAGGGGCAACTGGATCTTAGCTGCAATAGAGAGCCATAGGTGGTTGCAAAAGAGAAGATACATAATCCTACCCAGGCTGCAAGAAAGGAATTGTCAGTCATGAGGAGAAGACATTAGAATGAGGGAGAGAAAACAGTCAGGAGGTTCCTGTAACACTGCAGGCAAAAGACAGTGGAAAGCTGGACAGGGCCAATGAAAATGGAAAGCGGTGTACACAAAGACATCCCAGAGCTCAGCTGGCTGGGCCTGACTACTGACATGGGGGCCTGAAAAGACACTGATATTCTGGGCCAATAAGGAGAAGATAGAAAATGGAAAAGGAGAAGGCAGCTAGCAGTCCTTTGAAAAATAATATGATTCCTTGAAAAAGCAGTGTGATTGTTAGAGGTGCTTTGGGCTGCAACTGACAGAGGTGCAGACAATAAAAGACATTTCATTGTTTTGCAAAAGAAGTCAAAGTAGTAGGCAGTTCCAGGAATAGTTAACTATTCAATGATGCTATTCAAATATGTATTCAATGAGGTTCAAAGAAGGACTAGGTTAGTGCCTCTGAAATCCTCTTAATTTTTTTCTCATAGTCTCAAACAGTGGCGGCAGCAGCTCCAGTCCTTACATGAAAGCATCCAAAAAAGGGAGACTTCACTTCCTGCATCTGTGTCTACCAATTAGGGAGAAAAACATTTTCCAGAGGTCTCTGAGCTGACTTTCTGCATACCAGAATGTCATTACTGGCCACCCTTAGCTACCAGGAAGCTGGAAAAATTAGTATCTAAATGGGATTATGATTACCACAACTGGCTTACACTATGATGTATCCATGAGCCAAGTATGTTACAGGCTGATCAAATTCAAAAAGCGTCAGTTAATAAGGCAGACGTGGTAATGGCTATTGAGTGGGTAACCTACAGTGTCTGCCACAAGCATTCTGAACAAAGCAATATGCCTTCCAGAAAATGGGACTTCACAAGATGATAATGTGATACTTGGGCATGAACACATGTTTCTGATGAAAGTGAAGCTCTGATTCAGCAGCCTCAGAAGGGATATCTTAGCCTAAATTCCTCTTCAACATTATAGAATATTCTGAGTCCCTAAGCTTGAAGAAGAAAGGTCTTCACCTACTCAAGAAGGAAAAGATGATAACAGAAACACTAAGATTCACGCTATGAGAACTCCTGGCAAAGCAAGATGATGATGATGCAGTCTCAGGGAAAATACAACTCTTGCTCTTCCTAATAGTTTTGGAAATTAAAGAACATTGACTCATTCCATTCACCAAAGCTATTTAACCCTTTTCTGCATGTTCAAATACTATGTGTTCTTTAATGTCTAGTTCAACTTTGGCTTCTTTCATCAAGTTTTTCCTATTACCAACCAATTTGTATCCCATTATACTATTTAATACATTCACAAACATCTTTCTAATCCTATTATCAAATCCAGTTGATTTGATTTAAATAGTTACCAATTCTGTCCACCTCCTTCCATATCCATTGCTGATAATAACTGCTGATGTTTACTGGGCACGTGCTACATGGAAGGCATTATTCTGTGTAATTTAAAATTATTAATTCATTTATTCATTTTAACAACCCTATGAAGTAGACTATTGCCATCATTTCACACATGAGAAAACTTGGAAATAGAATTAAGTAACTTGTTCAAATTCACATAGGTAGTAAGTGATAGAGGCACTTTTAAGAGTTCATTTCTTAATTGATAAACTACACTGCCTCTCTCTTCTAAACCACACCCATTTCACCTAAACTACTGCAAAAGGATTCCATCTGATCTCCTCACTTACACTCCTCTCCAATGCATTTTTTATCCTAAAGCTAGAATGATCTTTTAAAAATGCAAAATTTGGTCATGGCATAAGCCCTCCCCCGACTCCCTATGCCCCCCCCAAGATCTTGCCCTGACCACCTCTCCAGCCTTACCTTGTGTTATCCTTTGCCTAGAACTTTGGATTCTAACCACCTGATGCTATCATTCCTTCCTACCCAGAGCTTTGCTCAGGCTGTTCCCTCTACCTAGAAGGCTCTTCCCCATCTCCAATCCTGCCTGCCTTACCTATTCAACTCTACCCATCCTTCAGATCACAATTTAAATGTCACTTCACACTCAGGAAAGCCTTCTCTCCACCCCCAGAGTAGCTCAAGTTCTGACAGGTCATAGCAGATTCTGTTAATCACTAGATGATCTATCTCATAAGGGCAGGGCAGAGTTTGCACATTTCATTCATCAGTGTTATCTCCAGCAATGAGCCCAGTCTTTGGCTCAGGAATCTGTTCACTTTTATTACAGGTATAAGTCTAAGTGCAAGTTCACTGAGGTCAGGGATTGTGCCTTAGGGACGTGGCTCGCTCTAGTAAAGAGAATATGGCTTTGGCCATGTTAATTCAGAAAATCCATCTCTGGATGCATGATTTCTCAAGTCTCAACTTCCCCTTCTTTAAGAGGAAATAATCACACTAAAGACTAAAAGAGAGACTGAAAATAATGTGCTAGTGAACCTGGCAGCAAATGCTCTTTACATCTTTCTTCCCAGCTGCATCTTTGTGTCACAGTGGGTCAGTGGCATAAGCAGTGAGACTGCATACCAGAGGTCCAGTGACCTCCCCCTCTTCCCACATGGTTCATCCCAGGGCATGGCTTCCTTCACCTGTTGGCCTGCATGGGTGCCACCATGTAAAAAAATGCAAAAATGCTACCGTGAGCAAGATGTTAAGGATTTGCTAAGTACAGAGGAAGGAAGGGGACAAAATGAACATTGTATGTAGGCATCCAGTAAGTGACAGGCATTTTCATACATTATTTAATAATTTAGCAAAAGTAAATCTGATTCTACAAATGAGGAGACTGAGGCTCAGAGAAGTTAAGTGTCTTACCCATGGACTTAGAGTAGATAAGCAGTGGATACCTGACTTGAACTCAGGTCTCTATTTCTCTATAGGACTTACTTCTGCTACCCCAGGGCACTACCACAAAAATGATTCTCTTCCTCGATCTTGCTTCCAGGTAAGGGTGTATAAAAGACCCAAGACATCTTTACGTATCTTTAAAGTCAACCTGACCTTGTTGCATGTGGGAAGAATCGGGTAATTTAGTAATATCTGAGCACACAGTGTCTCAAGATTAATTACCTATCTGCAAATGAATTATACGTGCTGGAGTTTTTCTTTTAAAAAGCTACATTCCCCTTGCATAGAAAAATTAACTCTGAATTCAAAATGCCCAATACTAAAATATTGATTAAAGAATCTTTAAAATTAACTTAATTTTGAGTGAGCTTTAATTAATGAATTAAAAGTAGTTAGTCATCACCATTCTCTGAGCCTAACTGAAGTTACATGAAATGAAAGATGAGGTCTAGAAGGGAGAGGGAGGACAGAGGAAGTCATGTTCCTTCTCTCTGAGATGCTGCCCTAGTCCAAGGCTTGAAATCGAGAACTGAGCACCCAAGACCCCATACAACTTGTTCCATCACACAACTTGTGGACTGAGGTTACCCGAAATGTAATCCACACACTACCTGTGTCCGAATCTCCAGGGACCTTTGTTGGAATGCCACTTCCTGGGACCCTCTCCAGGCCTACAGAGTCGGATTCTCTGAGGATGACGTCCAGGAACTGGCATTTTAATAAGCACCCCAGATGTTTCTGATTCATCCTAAGGTTTGAGAACAGCTTTGGGAACTCAGTAAAAATGTAAAGATCAAGATGATTCTGCATATTTATTTGCTTCGTGGGAATATAATTTTCTGTAAGAACCTTGAAATTTTTTTAATAAATAGCTTATTTATCCCAGCAACTCTAAAGGGGAGGCATTTCTACTTTCAAAATGGGGGAAATCAAGCCTTGAAATATATATGACATCCAACCTTTACACACAGTCAGGAATCAACTGCCTTGCACATAGCAATAAATAGTTACCATTCACAGATTAGGGCATTTTATGCTGTAAATCTAATCAACTTGATTAACTCACCTTTGTATCCAATTCCTCATTAATTTTATCTTGTGGGGGAACGGCATTTTTCTAAATGTATAACTTTAGTATGCTCCTTAGTTACGAATAGGCTCCCTGACTCAACTACTAATTGCATGTTCAGGACAGTTCTTCTGGACAACCCCTAGAAATAGTAAATTTTTAGATGAATTACTTCTTTATCTTCCTCTTCTCCACTGGTGAAAGCCAGTCCCCAAGCCAATTCTCCTGCCTGCTATTCTATCAGTTTAAATTCTGGATATGGAAATTTATATTTTAAACAGAAACGTAAGAGTTGAACATCTCCTTGTGATTAAGC